CCCCCCCCCCGCAAATGAGATGAATTGGCAGCTGTTCTTTCGGATCATCATCCTCAATCACTACCCCGTCCAACTGCTGGTATTTTTCCATGACTTGGTCATAACGTGGATTTGGTAATGACAACAATTGCTGTTTATCAATCTTTGTCACGTCTGCTTCTAGACTAGCATCACCGTCACCAATTGAATACCAATAAGGAAAATGTCCACTTTCCTTGTAGTAGTCCCAAGTAGCATTTCAATGTTGCGAATATCCGATTTGGTTGGTTCAGCTTTGATATGGTTTAGCAAACCCGCTAAGGCGTATGAGCTTCCTGCCCCTGTGTCCACCAGGCCTCGGCATTTAACCACCTGAACTTCGACAATAACTGCTGGATAAACAACTGCAGCATTCGTAAATGGTGTGGTCAACAAAGGGTTTGATACTTCATTGCAAATGGATGTGTGGTGTCTTCTGCCACAGTTTGCACGGGTTGCCTTACTCTTACAGTCCACTGCTAAATGTTTAGAACCTGTACAATTGAAACACAGGTGCTTCTCTTGTAGAAATTTTCTTCTGTCCGCTATCGAGACAACCTTGTCACAATCCTTTGATCGATGCTCTCCACTTTCGCAGTAAACACACACTCTTTTTACTTAACTTTGCTTTGCCTGAAATGCTCGATCACGTTGCCCAGTTGGTTCCCTCCCCGATAAGTAAACTTGCTATCATTTTTGTTATCATGATCTTCGATTTGTACAGGGTTTTTCTCAGTCCATTTTTTCAAGGCTTCAACTAATTTTGGGAAGTCCCATTCTTGCCAATGGACCTTTCCCCTTATGACTAAAATTTTGATCTAGACAAGTCTAGACAAAAATTTCATCACAGCTTGAAAGAGCATCACAAAATTAGTAATATTTCAAAGTTTCGTTGCGAAATGTTGTAAAACGCGGATAATATAGCTCTGCGAAATTTGCAATTCCGCAAGGCTATATTATCCGCAATTTACAACATTTCGCAACGAAATTTTGGAATATTACAAATTTTGTGATGCTCTTTCAAGCTGTGATGAAATTTTTGTCTAGATCAAAATTTTAGTTATAAGGGGAAAGGTCCATTATCATCATTCCGCACCAGGTCCCTCCGGATCCCTTCCAACTTATCGAGTGTGCTACGAACGTTCCCAGTAATTTCTTTCAGTTTCCCTAGTGTCTGGAGTGATTGTACATTATACACCAGAGTTTCATAAAATTTGTGTACTTTCCTTGGTTGGCTTCCAGTGATGACAAGTAACCCCATAATGTTTTTCATGTAGGCATGCACTATTTCACACGGTCTACCATATTTATAATAGTGAGCTTGAGCAAGTGACGTTTTTGACAACACGGACGTCGACCGGAAGTAAAGTTGACGTTTTTCACCAATCACAGCCCTTGACCCACTCTTCTGACGTCACTCATGCCATACGTGTTGTCGAAAACGTCACTTGCTTAAGCTCACTAATATCTCTATACAACTCCTTACCTTGGACTCCACCAATTCTTTTAAATATGAAAATTTCGTAATAGCAGCCGCTTTCGATTTATCTATTTCTGCGTCAAATTGGTTCCAAAACCGAGGCCAGTCTTGGTGCATGTGTGCTATTGAATTTCGTGATCACTAACTTGGGGAGCTTCGCTGCACTGCTAACTGCACTAGTACTATTCTCGGATGATGACATCATGGAAATTTTCTTTATCTCGCTCATCTTTGCTTCAAATTCTAGCTTTTGTTTACGCTCAAATGCTAATTGTTCTTGCCTCGTATGAAATGCCAGTTTGTTTTCCTCTTCCTGTCGTTGTGCTCTTTCTATTGAAGAACTAAATCCGCTATATACTTGTTTAAACCCGTAATTTTTCCGTCGACTTCTACGACCGGCTTTCATCAATTTTCGTCGCTGTCGCCATTTGTAAATTTCGTTTCCTCAATATCTCGTTTTAACTTTTGAATAGCATCTAACATCGAGTTCAACACATCGCGATGACGTTCGAGCGCTGTTATTTCCCTTTTTCACAATATCGTCGATTTTGCTTAACGTAAAACGTAAGGCTTTCACTTTCCCCGCCAATAAGTTGTCTAATTTCTCCATCTTGTTCGATATTTTGCCGCGTTTCGCGCCGAAAACTACGAATTCTATCCCATACGAAGTTGCCACTGTGGGGAATGTTGTTCGATGTCCCCCCCACGATCATCACAAATCACAAACCAAAATAATGTTTTAATGCTCACAAATCCCAAAAGTCACTCACGAAAAAAAACACACACAATGCCGTACTCTTCCTAGCCATTTAATTCCGGTACAGTTACCCTAGCTACTTTCGACAAGTAAAGCTCCTAATTAGATATTAATCAGCTGGTATATGTTTACCAATTTATGATATTGTCGTGAATAATGATATTAGATGTAAACAAAATTCAAGAGGGAGAGTGCCTCGCATGGGTCTTGAGTCCCGTTCGCACTCTTGCCGTTTGAACATCGTTCAATAAAGCTGTTAAAACATCAGTTGAATGTGCGTAACAGAAGTTTAAAGACACTTGCACTAGAAAAGGCAACCACGATCAGATTGGTCACCATCGACGCTTGATTTTGGAATAAGGTCTAACCAAAAGTTCGGAAAATAGATTTTTTAAACTTTTGCTTGAATTGATCAGCAATGGCTATACGCGTGATCAGTTGGCATTGCCACAATACATAAACATTCGAAGAAGCAGTAACCCAGCGGGCAAAATGACGTTTATTCAACGTTGAATCAACGTTGGAAATGACCTTCCAGACGTTGGATAGACGTTGAAAAAGGATTGATAATGCAAATTGGATCGACGTTACTGTTTCGACGTTGAAACAACGTTGAAATTAGGTTGCCAATCTCGTCAACCATAATTCAACGTTGAATCAACGTTGAAACAACGTTGAGATTACTTCACGAATCGATGTCGTACATTTAACCATGAATGAACGTTGATTCAACGTCTGTTGGCTGCTGTTGAACCAGTGTTTTTAAAACAACGTCAGAGCAACGTAGATATTAGGTTGACGTCGCAACCTTTTTTCTACCAAATTTCAACGTTGAAACAACGTCGTGTGCCCGTTGGAAGTTTTTTGGCGTCGTGCTGTGTCATAAAGCGAGCAACGAAAGCGAAACGAGTCGGTATAGGTAAGCAAACAACCACATCGAAAAGAAAACATTAGGGTCGGCGAAGAAAAGAAATTTAGCGTACGTACTAAATGGATGCCCCCATAGCTTGTTTAAATGCTTCACTGAAGCAAAAGGTATATTTTTCTTTCAAAAAGGTGTGGCATACCAGTAATTATCATGGGGGAGACAGGATGTGGCAAGACTCGTCTTATTAGATTCATGTGTGAACTTCAAGCTGGACCTGATGGACCGAAAAATTTGCTACTCATGAAGGTTTGACAAGTTTTGCCTACTTTTCTAAGAACCTTAGTTCTTGCTAAATTCACAAGACTGCAATTTCATTGCAAACGATTTGAATTTCAATTTTCGCGAGATTGTTCTTGGGACAAATCGTTAGTCGATAGTTGTAAATAGTTTGCAGTATGTTTTTTTCATATCTTTTTTTCGCCTTAGTTTGAATTTAAAACATATATATAGGTACATGGTGGAACAAGTTATGCAGAAATTGAAAAGAAAGTGAAAGACGCAGAGAAGTTGGCTTCCTGCAATGAGAAGATAAATGTTGATACTATTCTATTCTTTGATGAGGCCAACACAACTGATGCAATTGATCTTATTAAAGAAATTATGGTCGATCGAAGAGTAAATGGACGAGCTATTGATCCTGAACTGACGAAACTGCATTTCATTGCTGCTTGTAATCCATACCGAAAGTACGTTAAAACAGTGTGAAGTAATTGGTTTACTTTGTAGTTTGACCCGATATTCATATCTTATTTAATGGTGATAAACGAACCTTTGTCATAAATTATTGTTTTCTCTCTTTCACAATAAATGTTGCAGCTGTTGAGAAAATTTGTACTATATACGTTTTGTTTCAGGCTACTTTTCAGCGTGCCTAGTGTCGCGACACTTAAAGTAACATCAGCCAAAAATGAAACACCTGTGTTGAACACCACAACTACAAGATGCTAGATATCGAAGGAACTAGATTGAGTCTTGTTGTATCGCATACTTGCTTCGACTTGACCTCTTTGCTCAGTTGGTAGAGCGTTGGACTAGCGTTCCAAATGTTCGATTCCCATCGCTGTCTAACCACTTTTCAGCTTGCCTTGCGTGGAGACACACAAAGTAACATCAGCTAAAAAAATTAAAGACCTGAGTTGAAGACCACAACCACAAGATGCCTTAAGGTTACAGGACACCCTTTTTGGCGTTTTGCGGAAAATCGCTACTGCGCGCTCAATATCAGTCAAAATATGGTAAAGTTGTAAAATTAACAAACAATAAAATAATATAAGAATTATTCAGGAAAATCTTAAATCGCGGTGCCGTTACGCTTTTGAGTTGTGCTCCTGCTGGTTTTAAGTTATATTTATGAAAATATCATTTTTATACAGTAAAATAGTTGTTCTAAAAAATTGTGTTCGGAATTTTTTGTTTATTTCGTCATTCCGCTGATATGGCGATTTCTTTGACGACTGCAGTATATTTCTGAATTGTTTGAGTGAATTGCTCTGTATTATTAAAATATCCAAAATTTAAAAAAAGCCGAACACAAGTTTGAAACTGACGTCTTTAGCTATGTCCTGTGAAAATTTGAGAAAAATTGGTCAAAACCCGCAGGAGCACAACTCGTTTGAAAATCAGTAATTACCGTAAAATTCTCCGGGAGAAAATTGAATTTGAATATTACATTTTCAATATTACATTTTCAATGTTTTTCTTATTGCAGCGAAATGTATTTTATTAAATAACTCTTCGAGTTTTCAACATTTTTCGTTCAAACTTGGTCAGATAGTAGAACTAGTCTAATGCTTGGAAACCAATAAAAAAATTGTAGGCAAAATTAACCCTCAAAGGTTTTCTGTAACCTTAATGTTATTTTTGTTGTGGCAGTTTTTCTACATTTGGGTATAAAAACACCGGGTTTTTTACTACTCTTGCATGAAGAACGAAACATATGGATTGAAAGATACATAAGATATCCTCGCAATATATCACTTTTTATTACCAAATAACCAATGCTATTTTATATACGTATACTTTTCGGGAAATCTGTATACGGAAAAGTGTTATCAAATTTCAAGTTTTGCGTGGCAACTCTTATCCAGATGGCGGATACATGCATGCTGGAACCCGGCTAGAAGACAGCTATGAAAAAATTACATTTAATTTCACATAATTTTTTGATGAATCATATCTAATGTGTAATTAATACCCTTTATTATATAAAGTATAGTGCTTTATAGAGATTTCAAGAACTGATAAACGTGATAATCTCACATGTGAGATTATTATGATCATAATTTCACATGTGAAAATTATCGCTTTTCAGTTATCGCTTTTCTGTAAAAATTATTGCTTTTCAAAGACTGTCCTTTGTATAATAAACAGAAAAATACATGGGTGCATGCTTGGAAATACCAGATTTATTTCTCGTGTTGAACTCGAAATAAATCTGGTATTTCCGCGCACCCATGTATTATTCTCTATTTATTTATCGCTTTTCGCATTTCAACAACACGCAGTTTTGAACGGTTTCTGCTGATCGAATATCTGTATTTACCTGAGTGCATGATCATGCATGTTTAAGAGCATTCTTTACATGCACGACACAAATTTTCAAGAACACTTTTAAAGATACTCTTTTGAATTTCTCAGGGAAAGGCTGCCCTGCATTTTTAAGGATGAAGAAACCAAGCATTTATAGTTTCGATGATTTGTTTTAGACACACAAAAGAGATGATTCAGAAACTAGAATCTGCTGGTTTGGGGTATCATGTTTCAGCTGATGAAACTGAAGATAAATTAGGTATGATGCTACAGTAATTTGTAGGTTCGGCATTGATGTATATACTATAGCCTCATGGACAGTTCTGTAAAACCGTAGATTGTTTCCCCTTATAATGCTGGCTATGCAATAGCCAAAACTTCGGACAAAACCAACGTTGAAATGCTGGATAGGGGTTGGAGTTATAGCAACTTTGCCTGTACAATGTGCCAATGTGCTAATTCTAAAGTTTGTTAACTAAATTTATAAGTTACTGCGTACATTTTTCAAGCAAAGCCTATCGTATGAGTATTTATAGTATTTATTTTTAAAATTAATCCTACATTCCGCTTTTACCTAATATCTCCTTGAAAATTTGTTTTTCGCTAACCACCAATGCCAAACTGAGACTACCGGAACATACAGCAAAAACCTTTCGTATTTAAAAGAAATTACATGACCATGCATCAACCAAATATAATTATATTGTTATTTAATTGACAGGGTCAATTCCACTCCGACAACTTGTGTATCGTGTCCACCCTTTGCCAGAGAGTATGAGACCGCTAGTGTGGGACTTTGGCCAGCTTACAGATCATACAGAAGAACTTTATACTGCGCAAATTGTTCGACGGTTCATGGTATCACCCACGCCAGATGTAAGTATTAAAACAACTTGTTGCTTAAAATTGGATATTCAAGACGAACGTTTCTCGCCATTTAGCTATACTTCTAAAGAAACAAATGGTGTAAATGATCTTAATGCACAAATGGTGTAAATAATCTTAAAGCTCCGCACACGTTTCGCTTAAAATTAACAAGCTAGGCCTACAATAAAGCTTGCGAAGAACGAAAAAAGTTAGAAAAAATGTGGTATAAATGACTTGCATCGTCACCTTTTCTACATAGTCAAAAGTCAGGCAGGTAGCTACGTGACACTATTAAGAAGACGTGGTTGGCCAATCAATTGCTCGAGAGAATGTAATGAACACAACATACACTCAGTTAAACACAATACAGTAATAATTAACCCGCATAAAAGAACTATTGGGTTAAACACATCCACTATATCATATGCAATTCAGCTCCTAAAATACGAAAGTGATGTCTGAAGTTCAGTAAGTTTTGCTTTTATTGCTGTATACATTTGGCATCACTTGTATCATTGATAATTGTATTTAAATTGACTGATATAACTATTATTTTGTGTTTCTCGACCGCCAGATACATTTAGAAAGGTTGCTAACTGTGCAAATAACAAAATAAAGCTAAAACAAAATAATTTTGAGGTGAACGCCAAAAATATTTTAGGTTTTGAACACTGTTCATAACAAATGGCTGTTACTAAGGAATAGATATTGTTTATTGTACTTCTTCTCATTTATTTCAAATTTTAAATATTTTTATTCTGCTTCGTTTGAAAGCTTGTTTCTGCCGGACCAGCTAGAGGAGGTGTTCATGGAACTTTATACAATGCTGCACAAGCATCTTGTATTGCCAAAGTGTTGTCAGCTTCACAGCAATATATGCGGAAACAAGAGGTAAGGAATGTTTGGTTTTTTTGGTGTTTTTTTTAGATGATGGTACTCTGAGTGGCCCACACTGGGAAAGCTGAAAAGTTTGCTTGACCACAGCAGGAATCAAACCCGCGATCCACACCTCGATCACACAAACGTTTCAGCCTGCCTGGTGTGGACACACTCAGAATAGCATCATGTGAAAAAATTCCACCTGAGTACGTTACACCACGTCTATTACATTCGTAAAGAATATAATAGTTGTGGTAATAATTAAGAATTATTGGATGAGGCTAAGCATGTTATCAGAATTATTCAGACCGAGGTCAGCGTTATCTGCTGAAGCGAAGCTGAGGCAGATAACGCTGACCGATTAACAAATTAACAAATCAACGTAATAATTTCATTCCTAATAATCAATCAAATAATTTCGATTATCAAATCAACTCGTGATCAACAAATCAACCTCCCGCTAAGCGATCGGTTGATTTTGTAATCACTCGTATGATTATGGCATTAATAGCACTCCTATTCGTTCTATTACCATCATTAATTGCACTCTTCAGGAGTGCAATTAATGATTTTCGTGATGGCTGGGGGAGCGGGAAATCAAACCAAGAAAAATCCAATATGGCGGTAAAATTTATCTTGTATAAATAACCATAACCCCTAACCATAAATAACAAACATGGACGAATTTAACTAAATTTTGGCACAAGAATGAGTTAAAAAAAACATAGTATGGCAAAAAGAACCTGTGGTTCTCGTTTATGATTTTCCCTGATTTAAAGAACGGGGGAATTGAAAGCAAAAGCGAAACTACATAGTAAACAATTGATTTTTTACTTTTGATTGCTTTATTAAGGATATTTTGGGTGATAAAACTCGTTTTCGCTTTCATTACTATTATTTGATACAGTTCATCAAGTGGAACCTTCCAAGATGGCAGATGATTTTCGATCTCTGATGTTTTTCGTTTTATTTTATACATTACATTACAAAATGTATTGGCCTGTACTGCAGAATTGAACGGTATTGCCTCAGGCATATACCTGGAAAGAAACAAGCCCATTCTGGGTGAATTAAACATGGTTTATGGTCAAAGTAGCGGTGGACGACCGGAGTCACATGGCTTAAAATATCTTGCTGCTCGGGTGAAGCGATACCCGAATTCAACTTCCACATTTCAATTAACTCGTATAGCAATAAGTGGAGACGTGTCTCCTAACAATGGTCCTTCAGTGAAGTGCAAAGTGTGTTTAAGAACGATTGCTCGTAACCATCGAGCTGTACTTTTAGGCCGTGGGCCGTTGTGCGAAAAAGTGCTTGGAAAAGCAATTTCGTGGCAACCCCCTGGGGAATAGATTTTCTGTGGTTCAATGCACAGTACCATAGATGCTCAATTACCACAAAAAGTTCCCAAGCAAAAAACTTGCCAAACACCGAGAAAATGGGTGATCAGTGATTATACTCTATTAAATTGTATTACAGCAAAAAAAATGTGAAATTTTGTATTCAATTACAACAAAAATGACTAGCATCATCGGAAAGCTTACAAAAAACTGGATATAAGACATTTAAACAGTTTTTTTATATCTCAAATTGTTTTCGAGTTATACGCTGTCAAAAACGCATTTTTGACCTAGTACCCAGTCCTTATTGCCACAATTTGGTCCAATTTTCACATTTAAAACAGCAATAACTCAAAGACTATTTGTAGGATCAAAAAACTGTTTGAATGTCTTATATGCGTTTTTTTGTAAGCTTTCTGATGATGCAAGTCATTTTTGTTGTAATTGAATACAAAATTTCACATTTTCTTGCTATAATACCATTTAATAGGGGATAATCACTGATCACCCATTTTCTCGGTGTTTGGCAACTTTTTTGCTTGGGAATTTTTTGTGGTAGTCGAGTATCCATGGTACTACGCATGGAATCACAGAAAATCTATTCCCCAAGGGGTTGCCACGAAGTGAAATAATTTTGGCCAACGGCCCACGGCCTATTTGTGATTCATGTAAAGGGCAGAGTCATCTAATGTGTCAACATAAGGCCTAGTGAATATAAACGGATTCAGCAGTTGTCCTATGGAGCGTGGACCTGTCCTACCTGTATTGGTATATTGATACAAAATGAGTTGCCATTTAATCAGGTAGATAACTCTACCTTTGAAATTTGTTCATGGATGATGCATCAAACACAGTTGAGGATCAGGTGGGGGAAACCAGTGAAACTGATAAGAGGGATTTTGCCAGTCTCCCCAATCTTCGAACTGACCACAGTTCAGAATATCTCATAGGCCATTTGAACATAAACAGCTTCCAAAATAAATTTGAGGAAATGAAGGAAATTATACTAAAATTGAGAATACAAGTGATGATAATCAGTGAAACGAAAATCGACTCCTCTTATCCAGACAGCCAATTTGCCATACCTGGATATATGATATATCGCAGTGATAGGAAGAAAGGAGGGGGTGGAATTCTAGTGTATGTATCCTCAAGGGTAATCTGTAAGCGGGTTAAAGTTCCTCGATACTACAAGACGATTGAATCCCTGGTGTTGGAAATTGAGCTGAAAAGAGGATGTGTTATCGAGGCGGTCTGTACCGACCCCCAAAACCTCTTGTAAGCAACTATCAGCAACAGTTTGAGGAGGAGATCAATCACTTGTGTAACTGGGTTTCATTCGAGACAGGCAGTTGTAATGTTGGACGATTTGAACCACGATAGACTCCGGCCGGACCGGGCTGAGGGCAAGTTATTGATTGACGTAGAGGAGACTCATGGATTTGTATGTTTGATAACACAACCAACAAGGATACAGACAAGAGGCACAAAGACTACCAAGACTCTTATTGATGTCATTCTGACAAACCAACCACATTTGTTTATTCATAGTGGAGTTTATGACCCAGGGCTTAGTGACCACCCACTGGTGTATGGATTCATGCAAGAAAAGGTACCCAAGTGCAAAGCTAGAGTTATTAAATTTCGTTCAGCTAAGAATCTAAATGAGGATGATTTCAAGAATCATTTGAGATGTGCACCTTGGCATGTTGGAGAAGTTTTTGATGATGTGGAAGACCAAGTTGGCTCATAAAATGAGCACTCTTTTGACAGAAATTGTTGATGAGCATATGCCACGTAAACAGATGCGGGTTAGGGAACAGGATGTCCCCTACATGACCATGGAATGGAAGGAAGCAATACGGGCAAGACGTAGGGCGGGTAGACGGTACCGAAAAACCAACTCGCTCGAGAACTGGGAATTACTAAGAAAGTTACGAAACGAAGCGACTATAGACTCAGACGGAAGGCAATTAATAATAGTAATAAATTATAATAAATAATAATGGTTTAATAGCATTTCCACATTGTGGCTATCCTATGCTACAAAAGGTTACATGCATACATTATGACAACATTAAATTACTACAATATGATAGTATATTAGAGACCTATACATTTCAAGAGATAATCAAACGACAAAAACGGTACGAAACTATGGACAGACTACGTAACAATATAAACACATTGTACTGCATACTAAATGTTGCTAACTTTGTTCATTGCTAAGTCTCTGAAATGAGCGAAACAATTTCGGCAACACTCTCTAAAGTTATTACTGTTCCGAGTGTCTTCGGGAAGATCGTTGAACACCCGAGCAGCCTCGCCTTGAAAGGTACCAGAGACACGTGGAACGACTAAGCGACAATTAAGGGTTATTGGAAAAGAAAATCAGAGGAACTAAAGATCAACCCCCAAGACTTCTATAAAACATTCACACCCTTTTTGGGGTCGAAATCGAAATGCAGGAACTATTCAGATATCAATATCAATGGTCAAGTTAGTAGGGACAAGGAGGAGATTGCAGATGTCTTTGGGGAGTATTTTGCAACAATAGCTGATGATATTGGCCAAGTTGATGCAAATAAGAACTCCTTAGATGATTTTAATGATCACAGTAGTGTGGCAGCCATTACAGATTCCAATCCTACTGACAATCAATTCTTTAAATTCCTTAAGTTGGAAACAAGGGACGTGGAAGAAGCATTGAAGGGGCTAAATCCGCGCAAAGCTACAGGATGGGACCAATTTACCACCTAAGGCATTGAAGTTGGGGGCAACAGAAATAGCATTACCATTAACGAATTTATATAATATTTGTATTGAACAAAGACTCTGGCCGAATGACTGGAAGAAAGGCGAGTGGACTCCAGTCCACAAGAAAGATGATAAACTTGAAAAAGAAAATTATCGGCCGGTGACTGTTCAAATCGCCATTAATAAAATTTTTGAAAAAGTACTTACTAAACAAATAACTGAAAGTTTTGATAGTCGATTGAGTGAATATCTTACAGCTTACAGGAAACGTCATAGCTGCCAGACTGCGCTCTTGTTTTTAACAGAGAGCTGGAGACAGGCTTTGGATAATGGAGAGTGCGTCGGTTTGCTGTCGACAGATATGAGTAAAGCCTTTGATAGTATGCTTCCACCACTCCTGTTAGCGAAATTGAAAGCTTACAACTTTGATGAGCAGAGTCTTAAACTTATGACTTCGTATTTTATGCATCGCTACAGTAGAGTGAAGTTGGAAAGCACAACGAGCGCATGGAAATGGGTGAAAATAAGGCTGCCCTCAAGGGTCAGCATTTGGGCCTATGCTGTGGAATTTATGTCAAAATGACTTGACATACGTTATGGAGTCAAGCATTTGTATGTATGCGGACGATCATCAATTGTTTGAAACACACCAGGATATAAAGATTATTCAAAACAGACTGCAAGAAAGCGCTATCATGGCATCTAAATGGTATGAGGCAAATTATTTACAGGGGAATTTCACGAAATACGGTGTTAATCAGCAAGAAAAATACGCATGTTAATCAGCAAGAAAAAAGACCTCAATACGAACATTGATATTCAAGGCAACACAGTTACTCCCTACAAAAGTATTAAATTAATGGGAGTAAACATTGACTGCCAATTAATTTTTAGGGATCATATAAGTGAAGTCTGCAAAAAATCTAGCCAGAGAGTAGGAGTAATCATGAGACTACGGAACATGATTCCTACAGCAACGAAACTCCAGTATATAAAGCAGCGATCCTACCGTACTTAACGTATTGTAGTATGATTTGGCATTATTGTAGGGGAAGTGATACCCGAATGGTAGAACGCGTTCAGGAAAGAGCGTTACGGGCAATATATTGTGACTGGAACACTTCTTATAAGCAGTTATTAGAATGGGCTAAGCTACCTACCTTATTAAATCGAAGACTGCAAGATATTGCGACCATCATGTATAAGGTCAAATCTAAGATCTGCCCAAATTACATGGTAGACATGTTTTCCAGAAACTCAACAGTATATAATCTAAGAGTAAAGGAATTTTGTATCCCTAGATTTAATACAGTGAACTACGGTAAACATTCTCTTAGATATTTTGGGCCACTACTATGGTGTAAGCTACCAGCAAACATAAGAACAATTAGTCATTACTAGAAATACATGCATGCAATAACCCTTCGCCTGTTTTCAAAAGATGTATACTCAGTGCCGTTGCGAGCACTTCGTCTCAGGGTGTGTGTGAGGTTAGATAGAAAGGGGGGGGGGGGTTACCAAAATGTTTCCAGATGTACAAAAAATTTTCAGGACATATAATGATTTTTCCGAAAATACAGTTATTTTCCAAATTCACTTTCTCATGTCCTGAGAATTACCTGAATTCCCCTGAAAATCTTCTGCAAATCTACTTAAATTTACCTGAAAGTGCACTGGAAATCTACCTGAAATTCCTCATGAATAATTATCAGGGGTGTTGCACCCCTCCCCCCCCGGCGAGTTTCAAGTAAACACTCTCTGATTTATTGTTCATGTATTTCACCTCCCAAAATATTGTGCATCATACTCTAGAGCATTTTGCTGTTGTCATGCTCTAGCGTGGTTCAAATTTATGAATTTTTATTATATAAAGTATAGTGTTTTATAGAGATTTCGAGCACTGATAAAAATGATAATCTCACATGTGAAATTATTCATGATAATCTCACATGTGAAAATTATCGCTTTTCAATTATCGCTTTTCTGTAAAAATTATCGCTTTTCAAAGACTGTCCTTTATATAATAAACAGAAAAATACATGGGTGGTTGGAAATACCAGGTTTATTTTTCGTGTTGAACATGACATCTCACTCGTTCGCTGCGCTCACTTGTGAGATATCATGTTCAACACTCGAAATAAATCTGGTATTTCCGCGCACCCATGTATTATTCTCAGATATTGAAACTACAACTTGACTGGTTTAAATTATTATCAAGTTATCAGTGATTATAAAAGTTGCAGATAGAAGTGTTTTGTTTTATATTATTATCAAGTTATCAGTGATCGCAAAACCTCCAAATCCTTAATTTCAAAAGCCCCGCCGGGGCTAATGCACTTATCATCGGCTTCCCCGGGGGTCGATCCCCGAACCACCCAGGGGCTTTTGTTAAGAGGATGGAACAAAACATTAACAAAGCCCCTGGGTACAGGGGAAAGTTTAATGACAAAAATCATGTTACAGCTAGCCCCCTACCCCCGTGGCAAAAAAGCAAACATAACATCCCTAACAAAAACAAAATATTATATAACTGGTGAACTGGATACAAAATACAGCAGAAAAGTAAACAATTTTAAAATAACCGTCCAAAAATGTCAGGTTCAAGCATGTAAAGCATGCACGCTTGAAAGAGTTTATTTGCGCATGCGCTGAATTATAAATAATTAGGGTAAGATGAAGTTTATACTATTCGAACTCGATGATTCTTAGATACGAGTAATGTCCAATACAGGCATCGATATCTGATGTCTGATGGTGAAGATGGTGTATGATGGTCGAAGTGTGTCAGATGGTTGTCAGATGGTGTATGATGGTGTAAGGTGGTTGTACAGGGAAGGATTGTCAGATGGTGTATGATGGTGTATGATGGTCAAAGTGTGTCAGATGGTTGTCAGATGGTGTATGATGATGTAGGGTGATTATACAGGGAAGGGTTGTCAGATGAAGATTGTGTATGATGGTCGAAGTGTGTCAAATAGTTGTCAGATGGTGTGTGATGGTCGAAGGGTGTCATTCGGTGTAGGATGCTTATACTACGTTGCTATATTTTATTATTACTTACATATACTGTGGCCAACTATGTATATAAAAATATAATATTATATCTCACATTACGGTTCTCATGTGGGAAACGTAATTCAAAGTATTTGACAGAATATATTTAAATGCATTTGACAGACATGTTCGAGGTAATAATTAACAATATAATATGAATATATTATATCTCACATTACGGTTCTCATGTGGGAAACGTAATTCAAAGTATTTGGCTAAATATATTTAAATGCATTTGACAGACATGTTCGAGGTAATAAATAAAAATATAATATGAATATACTTCACCACCTGACAACCGATGGTTATATCTATATTGGACATATATGTTAGATACCACTGACCATATGTGAAACAAAATCCCGCGGGTTTATCCCGGGGGTTAACAGTGCCTGTTACCAAACCCAAACAATTCCCCTTCCCCGAGGGACACTATTTTTTACAAAAGACAACGAATCCCCTCCTGTTCCCTGGGGTTCCCCCTGGGGTGTCCCAGGGGTCGACCCCCGGGGAAGCCGATGATAAGTGCATAAGGTTCGAGTGGAAATGCCCAACCCCCGGGATGTGCTTTACAGGAAAATGGCGAGGGGTTGGGCACACTTGGATTTGGCTGATGCATTAAAAGTCATGGAAAAAGAAAAAACTTTTCATATTGCTACTATAAAATGGCTTATTGTGCTTATTCCTGTGCTTATTCCAGACTGCTTGTCAAATATTTACTTGCAAGAAGTAGAAATTTACTCTGACCACTGGATGAAGAAGACATTAAATAAGTACCGGTCAATAAACAGAAATGTATTTTATTTCATACTATTACAATTTTATTTTAATAAAATATAAACATGCCACATAGAATATGCAAATTCGAGGCAAAATTATTGTTGAATCGGTTTATTTATAGGATTGTATAACAAATAGCAACTATAAAAGTTTATACCTTGTCTTCACATCGCTTTATTCTGTTAGCCAATGCTTTTAAATTTACATATTTTAGAATCAGTTCCTTTCCTGGTAACTGCATTTCTAAATGAAATCATCGTGAGTAGTGAGTGCTGAGCAGGCCGTTTTACTAAAAACAAATTTTAGGAATTGATAACAACTTTGAAAAATATATCGTTGCACATTCGGTCACAGTCGGAAAAATGTTCATAGTATGTTGTACCGTCGCTTGCAACTAACGATGAACAGTCGCTCATAAAAACATTCGCGTGATTAGAATCTTCAATGTTTGTCAAGAACAACAACACTTAATTGTTGTTTCCCATGTGTACAATAATAAGTAACAAAACTTTGTGTGGTCTGAACGTGTTGGGCTAGAGACCTACTGGAAACCTTTACAGGCTTTTTAATGAGAATAGAGAATGTTTTATCTGCAACTGTTCACCCTTAGTTGCAACCGACGGTATTTGACAGCATAAAATTGCCTATGGCTGTGATAACTGATATAAATAAAATACAGTCTGGTTATACTGACTTGAGCGTGTCATGACAAACTCTTTATTGGAAAATTGTGAAGAAATAGTCGAATATAGAGGGTCGAATATCATACTTCAACTTGTATAGCTACAGTATTATTGGTACATAGCGTTGTGAAGACAAGCCTTTTCTTACCTTTCGCTTCAGCAGTCTTTTCCATGCTTCTCTACGCTTTCCCAGGTGAGCTTCTCTTTCCTCAGCAGTCTCCTCGAGCAAACGTTGTCGTCTTCGCTCCCTTCTTTTCGCTAGACGCTCGGCTTTCTTGTCGTTTCCTTGCCGCTCTTCATTTGGCTCCATATCTTTTCAATTGGTATTTGATACCGTAATTGTTTGATAAAAGTTTTAATTGTTTTTGCAAATGTACAAAAAACTGTAGCGCAAAAAGCAAAATATTTTCATGAAGTGTCTGTCAGTTAAAGTCGTCATTCGTCATACAACAACAAATTTTAAATTTGACCAATCGGTGTTCGCTATTCATGACAGTCCGCCATATTTTTGAGATCAGTGAGGATGACCACCCACGCACAGTGACCCACGCCCGCGATATTTGATGAATTTCAAACTTCCCCAATGCTTTCGTTTCCCCGGGTGTAAATAGCCGGGGGGAATTAGTACCCTCGCA